CAAAATGGGTATGACAGGTCCATCTCCCTCACAAACAGCACAGAGAAAATCCCTACCGAATGTAAACTCACCCTTTTGAGCTGGGCAACCTCTCCCCACGGCCCCCCATCTGAGCACTTCCTTAGACCCACTGAGGTTCGCTAGATGATTGAATTTGAACTCTGGACTAAAGATGATGGGTGGAACAAAGTCTGTCATAGCAGGAGTGTAAGATCCATAGCATGATAGGAAGCGTCCATATGGGTGGAGCCCAGAAGTGGAATTACCAATGGAGCTGCTGGTTGGGGTACCAGGAAACACCTACCTTCCAGAACATTCCTGGCAGTGTACAAAGTGGGCACTTCCTTTCTGAATCAGTAACTAACATATTTGTGGGATCTAGGAAGGACTTACAGATGCGGATGGTCTTGCCACACACTTGGCACAAGCTTTCCACCTGGTGGGAGGTGGTATTGGGGGTGTGGTGACTGAATGGGGTTGGGGAAGGACATTTTATCTTCATGTGCCCAGAGGCAGAGAAGACAGAAAAGGAAGACTTACTGCAAGATCCCATGGTCACCCAGCCCTAGCTTACACAGTACCATCCCAATATAATCACCTATGACCTGTGGGGATGTGACTGCTTGCCTTATTGATTAGGTCACCAATATTTTAAAAAAAGATTTATTTTTAATATGTAGATTTAATTTATTATGTAGACAGTGTTCTGCCTGTGTGCATGACTGCACACCAGAAGAGGGCACCAGATCTCATTACAGATGGTTGTGAGCCACCATGTGGTTGCTGGGAGTTGAACTTGGGACCTTTGGAAGAGCAGGCAGTGCTCTTAACCAATGAGCCATCTCTCCAGCCTGGTATTTTTAAAACTACTATTTACAGAGAGAGAGAGAGAGAAAGAGAGAGAAAGAGAGAGAGAGACAGAGAGAGAGAGAGACAGAGAGAGAGACAGAGAGAGACACAGAGAGAGAGAGACAGAGAGAGAGAAGAGACAGAGAGAGAGAGAAGAGAGAGAGAGAGAGAGACAGAGAGGCTATGGTACGTGTGTGGCAGTCAGAGGACAACTTACAGGAGTTACCTCCTTCCATCTTGTGGATTCGGGGATGGAACTCAAGCCATTAGTCTTGTCCAGACCATCACTCTTTAGCAATGTACATGCATGCCTGTCTTTCCTGCCATGTAGCCAAGTACTCTGCTGGACAAATAGAGTGGGTGAGAAGTACCCTATAGCAGCTTCCAGGCAACACCCTTAAAAGATGACAGGCAGGTGGCCCTTGCCATTTCCTATCAGTCTTCTGGAGTAAGTGAGCATGACAGTGGGAGAACAGGGGGACAGAAGCAGCATAGAAGCCTGAGTCCTTGAGACTAGGAATGGCCATGTTTGCTAATTCTGTGTGTGTGTGTGTGTGTGTGTGTGTGTGTGTGTGTGTGTGCACGCAAGCACACACACATGCATGTACGCACATGTACGGAGGCCAAAGGCTGACGTCAGGTACAGAAGCTGCCTGTCTCCACCAGCACCTGTCCCATGTAGCCTGACACTAAGGGCACAGATGTGTGCTGTTATTCCTGGCTTTTATGGAGGTTCTGGGGATCCAAATTTAACCCTCCTGCTCCCACAGGAAGCATTTTGCCCACTGAGCCATCTCCCAACCCAGGTCATCTTCCTTCTGTAAGCCAATTTTGCTATGGATCTTCAGCATACACATCTGAACCTAATTATTCTAAGAGACACATCTTCTAAACAAGAAGGATTGGAATCATTAGAAAGAACGATTAAAGCAAACTAACTCCAACAGAAAGGATTCTCAGGGCAACCGTAGGACCAGACGTTTTCATCCCAGACAACCGGGAAAGAAACGTTCAATCTTGGATGCCCATTCAGAACATTACACAAAACCCCCTTTCTTTCTACTTAATTTCTGTAAAAGTTTTGCTGCGTGCCTGGGGTTGGACTTGTTTTGCAGTTTTCTTTTAATCCTTGTAATTGCCTCAGCATGAAGGACTTCTTGTCGTTTCCAATCTAAATTTAAATTGAAGGCTTTTTTGCATCATCTGTCTTCATGCTCCACGTGGCATCAGTGCACGGTTCTGTTCCTCAGGGCCGGGAGGCAGCCTACACATCTGCGACTTGCCCAGCCCATTTCCTGGCTGGTGACTGCAGCACCTTCTCTGTTTACAGCCAATAGTCAGTGTGTTCATCTCACGGCTGAGGAGAAATCTGCTTGTGTCATCACACTGAGGCTTCGGACGGTTTATCTGGGCTGTTTCTCACAGCTGGCATCTGCTAAAGCCAGTCTCCGACAGATGATTTACCACAATTATCACAGTGATGGGTATTAGTCTGTGTCTCACATCCTGAGTCTCCAGGAAATCAAGGCAGACCATAGGAAGCAGAGCTATTACCCAACTAGGGCTTTGTGTCTTCTTATATTTAGATTTCACAGGGACAGTGACTCTAGAGCCACGTGGCTTCACATTTCTAATATGTCCGACACAGGCTGAGTCATCATGACTTGGGGCTATGGAATGAGGGGAAATGACCACTGTGTTTCTCAAACTCTCTGATGGCAAGAGAATTAACCCTAAGTCCCTCTTTCCTATCTAGAACACCAAAATCAGACTATCATGGGGACAGTCTGGGGAGCTGTATTTGAACAATCCTTGGGCAGTTAGGGAATTACTGATCTAGCATTCTGTGAGGGCGCAACTGTCTTGCCAAGGGAGCCAGTGGGGTCAGTGACTATGGAGACAGGCAGACCCAACCACCTATGGTCCTGGATGAGGATGCTATTTCTTAGAGCCTCAGTGTCTTTGTCTGTAAAATGGGGATAGTAGGTCTCACTTCTCCAGTGCTTGCTGAAGACTACAAATATGATACAAGAAGACACTTGGTGCTCAGTATGAGCTTAGCCAATGGTGGCCACCACGCAGGAGACTCTGCAGTCTCCTCTAACTTTGGCACCACTGGGAACTGGGTCTGAAGAAAGAGCCCTGTGGTGTAGACCACATCTTCCCAGCTCACAGAGACAGGGCAGAAGACACGGACATTCCATGCACAGTCTCATTTCTCGTGAAGAGCTTTCTAAGCGGTAGGCAGATGGTTCTTTGTGGGCAACGGGAGACAATTACAATGTAGTCCCTTAAAGCTGTAACCATACATCCATCCACAGAAACTCATTCTCTAGAATCTTAAACGTGGTTCAGAAATCTTGACGGATATTGTTTGTCCTAAATCATTTGGGATGTTCTATATAGACTTTACTGGTGCCAGGCCATTGGTGCTCGTACAGGCCTGGCCGAAAACCTCTGTTGCTTCAGTCACCTCCCTCCTTGTGCAGTGAGGCTGGGACTTGGAATCTGGGCTCAGTATGTTGGCAAACTCTAAAAATCAGGCAGTGCTGTTTTGTCACCCTGCTTGGAAGAACACGAGGACAAACACTGTCCCACCAGCTGTCTGAACTTTCTGGCACTGATTTGGACAACAAACAGTATGACTTTTTGACAGAAAGAAAAGGTAACCAGAAAAGCGCGTGTGGCTGAGTGTAAAATGCCCACTGCACAGCCCCAACACAATGAGGAGCTGGGCGTAGGACAGATGGACAAGGGTGATGACAATCTCCAAACTTCTAGGCATACTGTCGTTTAGTCTTCAGAGCTGAGCCTTGAAATGGGTGGTAGTCAGTCTGCCCCTTTGATGGATGAGAAAACAGGCATTCTTTCTAAGAACTTCGTAGAACCTTGGACAAATTGCTTCACATGCCACGACAATGATGTCTAACTATTTGAGAAATGAGAGTAGACTAAAACTTATTTATCCTAAACCACAAAGTCTCATTTCTTATGCTTTCCTCCCCCTTGGATCGGCCTCTGGTGAGTTCTTAGCTACAATCTTTTGTGGGGTTTGTTTCATGGCTAAAGTGGGGGAAACAATGTATTCTCTACCTAAAAGTTTTTAAAAGATCAGACGAATTCATGTACGAAAGCACTGTGCAGCCAAAAGGCCACATCCCATGTGTCGGGGAGCTCTATTCCTCAGTTGAACAAGCTGCCCTAAGTTACAACCAGTACACCCTAGAGATATGATGCAGGCTTTTCCTTAGCCACCACTTCTTTAATGGTAGAAGATACATTTTGGGGGTTCTAGAGTTATTCATAGGCCCAGATTTCAAGGGCCCTGCAATTTCATCTTCAACACTATCATGAGTGCTCCACGGTCAGTGGTACCCAGCATGCTCTGAGAATGCACAAGAGACAGTCTGCTAGACCAAGACACCTCAAAGGAACTGTAGCTAATGTCAAGGCTGTGCGATGGCCCAGTCTGGACCCTCCAGTTCTTCAGGAAACTCCTTCCTCTCCTCCTGGCCATTCACCTGCCACAGTCAGTCTCTTTGGTGCTCCCGGTGTCCCCTGTACAAAGGCAGTTTCCTGAATGCTGCTATTCTCAACAACACACAGGAAACTCAAGAAGACTCAAATAACAAGTCCCAGCCCTGCGTCTCACCGTTTATTCTGCAGACCCACCCGCACTACAGAGATGAACCTGGCCACACCCTTGCTAGTATGTAGAGAATCCATCCTTTCCACCCTAAAGTGGATGCTAGTGAAGGGCAGATCACAGGCTGGAGCCAACCTGGCAGGTTCTCAGAGTTCACTGCAAGTGCAGCAGGACAGCAGAGCCTGGAAGAGGGCACTGACCCTTGGACAGAGTATGAGAGGGAGGAGCTCTAGTCCCCAGGAGGGCAATGCCAGAGGGGTCCCCAGGACACGGTTGACCAGCTAGGAGCCAGGCAGCTCTGGGCTTCTAATGAATCCCCAGAGATCAAGGCCAGCCCTGGACAGCCTCTGACACTGCTCTGAGTGAGTCCCGCGTGACTTCCTGGCAGGCTGGGCGTAGTCTGGTCACCTTGACCACCAGAAAGAGAAACCTTGGGAAAAGGACGCTGCTGTGCCCTGGCTTGCTCCCTTGCAGTCACCATCCCTGACCTGGGGATTCTGAGAGCATGCCTGCCCAGAGCCCTAGAAGAGCCCCTCTGCCCACACCACACCTTACTGTTTTAAATACATATCTCAAGCCAAAGTTGCTAACAAGGTTGGAGAAACGTGTGAGAAGGAAGACAGTGGTGGCACTGAAGGAGATGAGCCAGCAAATCCAAGAAACTAAACGCCGGCGGGAAAGGCTGCTGAAGGACAGCAGGCAGCTACTAGAGGAAAAATACCTCGTGCAGGCTGAAAACCAGTTTTTCGTGGAACACCTGCGTAAAAACAGCGAGCAGTGTGAAAAGAAACAGGAGGCGCTGTGGAAGCAGTATGCCCAAGAATGTGGCGAGATCGAACGAAGGAGACAAGACCTGGCGTCCAGATACACCCAGAGAAATGCAGCCCTTCGAGCACAGCTCCTACAGGGCAGAGAGACCCAGGAGGGGTTAAAGCGGCAGCTGCAGGATCTGAAGACCGTTTACAAGGTAAAGGAGGGGCAGGACAAGAAAATACAGGCCTTGGAGAAGGAGAGAGAGAAAATCCGATGTGAGACAGCGGCCAAGGACCAGGAGGCACACAAGCAGTTCCTGCGGGAGAAGGCCCTGGTGGAGAAGGAGCTGGAAGAATTGCACTTGGGGCAGATGAGCGCCAAGGGGCTCACGGGGAAGTACAAGGCCTTGGCACTGGCATGCAAGCAGGCTCATTTTGAGTTCTGTGGCAGCCTCCACAGAGAGAACCAGCAGAGACGGAAGGAACTTCAGCATCTGGGTCAGGAGTACCGCAAGGTGGACAGCAGAGACGGAAGGAACTTCAGCATCTGGGTCAGGAGTACGGGGGGGGGAAAGCCGTGAGGAGCCAGTTGGAGAAGCAGCAGCGGCTGGTGAAGGAGGAACGGTGGTATCTAGAAGCCTTGATCAGGGGGCGGCAGCGGCTGCAGGCAGGACGTGAGCGCCATCGTGCTCACAACCCGTGCCTCAAGGCAGGGGGCTCTTCAAAGACCAAATTCTAAGTAACAGCTACCATAAGTGATTAAAGAATCTGAGTGCTGGAGATAATCTGCAATCCAAGAAGTCTCCACCGTGGAGAATAGAATGGTGGTGTCATGAAGGGCAATTGTGCCATGTTGGATTGTGCTCCTACCCTGGGGCGCATATACTGGCTGGCTGCCTCCCCAGGGCTGTTGTGGATTCCAGAGATTTAGAACATTTGGAAAACTTTTTAAAGAGTTGTGCCATACATTTTTATAGCAGTGTTTGAAATTCTCAGATTGCTTAGTTACGACACGAATTTTAACTCCTACCACCTTTGTTTTTGTCTTCATGTGCACTTTATAGTCCACAAAGTGTGGTATATAATTCATATGCTCTGTGTATTTTTACCCATTTGAAACAAGTAGGAATCACATTCTAAACTGTAGGGAATTTCGTTTATTTGTTTATATGTTTGCACTTGTGATGGGTCATTTGTTGAACTGTGGGTTCTGATCTGAGGGAATGGTCGTATGTTTTGGCAATGCCCCAGCATGGGAAAATGTGGTTGACTTTATGTTTCTCAGAAATTATTGACTATGAAAGCTTCAAAGTAACTTTTTAGAATTTATAACCTTTATTTATATGTAAAGTGGATTCATTTAAAATAGGACTAAAAGAAGAATTCACTTTTCAATGTGTCTTAGAATATAACTTTTAACATTGCTGGTGAAATGTGCACTTTGCCATTAAACAGTATTGTCAAAGACAAAACCCACATGTGATTATTTCTTACTCCCCCAGCTCTGTAAATGCAGTAGGAATATTACATCTGTTTTATTATATGTTCCATTATATTGTTGTCACCCTTTTGATGAGGTGATAGGACATTTATGTGGTGACATACAATAGGCAAATGATGTAAGCATCGTGACCCAGGTTGGGTTACTGGATCAGGGCTACGTTAACACAAATGTTGTAGTATGACAACAGCCTGCCTAATATACGAGACAGCGATTGGGTGGCTAACAGGTGTATACGGCATGAATACACTGGGCAAGGATCATTTGTGCCCCTTTTGTAATGCTTGGATGGTACAATATTTCATTGCCTTTCTCGGACACATGAAATAGATGAATTGTTTCCATACAGCATTTGATTTTGGGCTGAAATTGAACACAGATAACTGAAAAGGTGGGAAGGGAAGCCGTGGGTAAGAGGAGCTGCCACAGTTCTCCGTGCTATTGGTAAAGGAGGGGTATTCCTATACTGCATTTCTTTTCTCATGAATAAGCATGGTAAGTTCTCCTCGAGTTTGGAGGCTAACTGCGAATCTTTTTCCTTTGTGCCTTGTGCCATTTTTATATTGTCTAACCAGTGGGAAGAGCTGGCTTGATGCTGACAGGTTGCTTCAGGCCTCCAGAGCTGAGACAGGTAATCTTTTTCCTAACGGCCTGGAAAATACAAATACAAGGCCCTGTGCTTCTTGTGGATGCTACAGCATAACATGCTACCCCACAGCGTAGAACAGCCCCAGGAAGCATAAGGGGCGGGACAGTCATGTCACAGTAAGATTTCATTTACAAGACAGCCACAATTTACCCATCTCTGTCCTAGAAGAATAAAAGTTTCCTAGTTCCTTCTTTCACCATCCACATGTACACGTGTTGACTGTGAATATGCAGGCATGAGGCATGCAAGCCAGATGTTAACTGACGTACTGAGGTGAAAGTGAAGCCACGCTTGGGGCAAGCCTCTTGAGAGGTGAAGGTGCCTCCTCTACTCCAGTAGGCTAAGGACCCTCTTGCTGTACTTCCGGCCCAACCCCATCTGTGTTCTACACCAACCGGACAGATCCTGGCCCCCTTCCCCTAACTATGAGCACCCATGCAACACACACACACACACACACACACACACACACACACACACACAGAGCCCGCCAGTCGTACAGGAGACATGTGAGGCAGACCCCTTCCAAGAAATATGACCTCTAGACTTACACTGAAACAATCCAAGCTACTCCATATTAAACACACATTCTTCGTTCTTAGAATTCCTTTTTTTTCTTCTCTTTAAGTTCTAGTCTCCCACCATACTGCTTAGCTTCCCATCTTCTAGTAACTTCTATCACCTTGCTGGGCAGAACTACTAAACCATTATCTCAATGCATCTCTTTACACAGCTGCTGGGAGACCTCCTCCTCATTCTCCCTCTAGCCACTGCAGGGGAAAGGGGCCGTGCACGTCACCATGTGCTTGAAACCACCCTCTCTCTCTCAACTCAAAAGCCAAATTTTGGTTTTCCTTTTAGATAACATGTTTTTCTTCCATGACATAATTGAAAATCAGTTCGTTATGATTTTTTTTATTTTGTTTCGTAAGCTCTAGTGTAAACAGGAAGACAGAGTTACAAGGCAAGAGGGAAGGGAATACTGGAGCAATCATTCAGCAAGGCAGAGAGGACGGCCGTCCCAAGGACACCAGCAGCAGGAGCTCCCTGTTTTCCTAAGATGTCATCATTGTATGTGGTACCAGTGGCCTCTATCCTGGGGTGTGTTTGTTCTAGAACAGATGCTAAAGAGTGGACCCCATTGTACTGACAAGAGTGGTCCCATCAGACTAAATACATTTGTTGAACAATTTCCCTGATGAGAGAATACTATGCCACTCTCAAAACAACATAAAAAAAACCAAAAAAAAACAAAAAAAACAGATGCCCACTCTACTGTGTTGTCAAATACTTCTCAGCCAGAAATTACTCAGCCAGAATTACTATTGGAATATTCAAGAGAGAAGTGTAAGGAGACGGCTGTCTTACTGTTGTGTGAACCCTCTCTTACTGTAACAAAAAACTGACATGGTCAATTTAGGAAGAGAAAAGGGTTGATTTGGCTCACCGTTTGGGAGACTTTAATCTGTATATAATACCTTAGCCTAGTTGCTTTTCAGCCTGTGGCAAAGAATTGCACCATGGAGGAGTCATGGGCACAGCAAAGGTACTCTGGAGACTGAGACAGGATAAGGAAGAGGCTGAGGTCTCTCTGTCCCCTTCAAGCCTTCCCTCCCCCCAGTGATGAGAAGAGCTCTTTATAAAGTCCCTTGCCGCCGGGCGTTGGTGGCGCATGCCTTTAATCCCAGCACTCGGGAGGCAGAGGCAGGCAGATCTCTGTGAGTCCGAGGCCAGCCTGGTCTCCAGAGCGAGTGCCAGAACAGGCTCCAAAGCTACACAGAGAAACCCTGTCTTGAAAAACCAAAAAGTAAAATAAATAAATAAATAAATAAATAAATAAATAAATGTCCCTCCAAATTGAGAGGTTTCAAAAGATAGGTTTTTAAAACTGTGATACATCAAATGTGCATCACGACATCATGTGGCCATGCATGGTTACTCTCATCCTCAGAGCTAGCCCTTCTGCTATGTCCTCTTGAGAATAAAAAGGGAAATAAATAAAATTAAAATATAACTTGCATATTAAATTATGCAATCCAAAACTTAGAGGAAACCCCACATATCAGGGGTCTCCAAGAATGAACCCTGGTTATTTCCAGGAAATCTTAACATTCTGAAAGAAAGGAAAGATGAAGCATTAGTTTAGGGCTCAAAGCCAGGAGATGAAGAGTTCACACTTTCACTGTTGGGTTCCCAGAATCTGTAAAAGGGAAAAGCTCACGCTTAAAGTCAAATAGACTCTGTTATTCTTTTGCTTAAATTAGAAATTCGAGAGATGGACATGGACTATAGAGAGCACATTAACCAGTTTATTAAAGGGCGGAAGAGCGAGAGGGGAAGAGGAGAAATGGAAGAACAGAGCAGGGAAGAGAGTAAGAGAGAAGAGAGCTAGAGAGAGGTTGACTGCCAGAGAGAGAGAGAGGACAATAATGTTGCGGATTTAAAAGGGGGAGCTCTCACCTGTGCACTGAATCCCTCCCTATACAGCCCCGTAATGAGTGACGTAGTCATGACATGGCCATGCAACACGGGGCCCTTTAAGCTGTCTAGCTATCTGCCTGAACCTTTCAGACTCAGTGTGGTGGTTTGAAAGAAAATGCCCCCCAAAGGGAGTGGCATTATTTTGTTGGAGTAGGTATGGCCTTGTTGGAGGAAGTGTGCCACTGACGAGGGGGACTTTGAGGTCTCATATATGCTCAAAATGCTGCCCAGTGACTCAGACCACTTCCTGTTGCCTGCAAGTCAAGATGTAGGACTCTTAGCTACTTCTCCAGCACCAAATCTGCCTGCACACTGTCATGCCCCACCATGATGATAATGGACTAAACCTCTGAAACTGTAAGCCACCCCAATAAATGTTTTCCTTTATAAGAGATGCCATGATCATGGTGTCTCTTCACGGCAATAGATACCCTAACCGAGACATTCAGGGTACGTGATTTGATCCTTCCACTCTAAATCTTATACAAGTTACTCAATTTCCCAGCCTCTGTTCTCTCATTTTTAAAATAGTAAAATTGCTCAGAGTTAAGTAAGATAATGCATGTAAAGTAGCATGCAAATTGTTGTTTAATAGATGTTTCCCTTCCTGTCCCCTCTATGGAATTAAGATAAATAAGATTCTATTTGTGCAATAAGCTAGCTTGTATATATTGGTATAATTTTACCTATTAACAACTATCTTATGCAAGCCTTCTAAAACTGCTATGAAAAAGCATCTATAATTACTTTTAATAAGAATCTTAAATGAAATCATTTTGCTACAAAGAGCTTTTGTTTTAAATGGAAAGCATAAAAGCTATCAAAAAGGATTTTATTATGGCTAAGTGATAGTATTTGGTTTCTGAGCTCAAATAGATAGAGGTAAATTGGCTTTTGTAAGGCCATGTGCTTGCCATTAGGTTAAGTGTTTTATGTTAAAATTTTACCATACCCTTTTAACAATATGGAAATAAGAGGCTAAGGGATATTAAATGATACCATCCCATTGTAAAAGCCTGCCAAAATGAAACTCACACCCAAACTACATTCACAAAAGACCCCTTTTTGACTGGGCTGTGGATGTCGTGCAAAAAACACAATGGTTGTG